TATTGAGATAAGTTTTAGCAGCTTCTAAAACTGCTATTATTAATCTGAAGGTGGAGTATTCAAATCCATAAATTCTAGTATATCCGATTAAGGCTCAGTTTTCATATATAATCAAGCTATGAATGGAGGCTCTATCTATTGTGAGAACTGCTAGCTTTAATTTGCCGAAACTCTATTTAGTAATAATTTCGCTCTAAATGGTGGAAGTGTGACTGTAATAGGCTCTTCTTTCACAGAATTTTAGAGTATCTAAATTATTAACAATTACGCATACAATTATGGAGGCTTTGTTTACATTTAAAAAGATTTATTATCATTGAAAAGGTTGCTGAATGAGGATGATAGTGAATAACAAGAAAATTAATTAGAAATCTATTAAAGTCATTCATTCATTGAATTAAGACAACTAAGCTCATTGATTGGGCCAATTTTAAGAATGATAAGCATTGAAGACTGCTATCAGAACTATGCTTATAATAAGGGTGGAGTAGTTTATGCAGATTCTTAGGACATTGATATTGAAATAGATGGATTAATTTAGAGTGAAACCTAAGCATTAAGATAAATGGGTGGAGTAATACATTTACAGAATGCTAAATCAATAAATATAACACAGTCAGATTTCTCAATATTTTAAAGTCCTAGTGGCTCTTGCATCTCTAGTGTAGGACTTAATACTAAAATTCATATTTCTAAAACAAATTTCTTAGAAAATGAAGAGGCTGAATTCCCAGCGAATTACTTAAATAGTGATTCCCCTAGCACCTACGGTGTAATTTACATTAAAACTGCAGATCTGGTATTATTCTCAGAGAATGTGTTTACAAATAGTTACCAGAAGAAATATGGAGGAGCTATCTACATTAGCAATTCCTATTTTTATGATTCTGATTCAACATATGAATTCAGTTTAGCTTTCAATGGAGGAATTATGTATCTGAAAGAAATGTATGATGTAAAAATTAACAATATCAATATTGAGTACGCCATGGCCATTGAAAATGGAGCAGCTATGTATATTGATAGCAGTTTTGGTAATACCAGCATAACTAATTTATAGATGAGCTATGTAAGAGCAGGAGAGAATGGAGCATTTTATTATTATAGTGAATATTAGAATAATGAAGAACTACAGCTTTTCTATTTACTTTTGGAAAATTTTAATTCATATAATGTAAAATCAAGGTACGGCGGACTATTATATTTTGATAATTTGTATGGAGTTTTGATTACTAGGAATCTTTATGTTGATTTTACAACAGCCAATTCAGCAGGAATTTTTATGATTTAAAATGGTTACTTCTTGGAAATTTACAATAGTACTTGCTTTAACATTAGGGATGGAGATGGATATGCATCTTTTCTTCATGTTTAAAATGTGATAGAGTCAGTTTATATAAGTGATTGGTATGTTGAATGCTATTAAGAATACAATGATGATATATTTTTATATTAATTTATTTCTGATTTCGCTATTTATAATGAAATATATGAAAATCCTATTGATGATTTCGATAGTATTTATTATGAAACTGAAGCTATTCCAGCATTCATATCTGTATTTGATCTGCTTTAACTGAAAATCGATAATTTTAGTTGTACTTGATG